TATATATACATATATATATATACATATACATACACACACACACACACACACACACACACACAGATGATGTTGCTCTCTAGTTAGTTAGTTAAAGGCTTTTGGGGAGATTTAAAAATGCATTCTTGTCTCCTTTGCCAGAATCTTGGGTCGATGGTTATAAAGAACTTAGCATTTCTGATCTTGGCTTTAAGTATATCCTCTGCGTGTTTCTCGAGCCGTGGATTTCCCACGTAAGAGTTCTGGTGCCCTGTTGGATTTCCCCAGTGTGGTGGTGACCATTTCAGTAGAAGCAGTAGCAGAGGAAGCTTCTGCAAGGTCAAGATCGGCTGTCCAGGAAGGAATGAGGCAGCAAATTTAGAGCCCTTGTTCCCTTTACACCACCAAGCATTTCTGCTCCCAATTTTTGTGTTCTGGGCAAAGGTCCAGGTGAACAGCAGCTTCCCTATGACTTAGCAACTCCATTAGCCAAAGCGAATCGCTTATCATTGCTTACTGGCCTCCATCGCTGGCCCTTTTGTGCATATCTTTTGATTTTTCTTGATTTAAAATGTTCTACTCACCTGAAAGATAAACTAGATAGATTCCCTATCTTGAATTCCTATCCGTTGGAAATGTGTATTGATACTGTCTAGAAATCATTAATACAGGTTTGGTGGCCCCCTGTAAGATACTGTCATGCATAGTTATCATTTCATTGCAGAAGCTTTTCCCTGTTGCAGAATGTTTTCTCCATCTCTCAGAGGAAATGTCTCAGGCTTCTGCACCGAGAAATTAAGATGGACTTTGTTATTCCAAAATGTAACTCATTTAAAACGAATACTAAGAAAAACCTTTCTTGATTGTTTAAAAATCTGTGTTGATGTCAACCTTCACATTATTTCACCAAGCTCCTCTTGGTTTTAGAGACTTTCAAAAAAGAAGAGTAAACGGTCACTTGGTGTCCTTTAGGAAACAATTTTGTCTTGTCTGACCTGTTGAGTAACGATTTTAGAAATATTAGTTTCTACCTAAAGGTAGAGAACGAGTGATGGCACTCTCGGGTCCAGTGCCTCGGATGCAGTGCAGCTGGCAATGGAGAATTCGTGCAGGAGGTCAGGGGCCACACTTGGCTTCCCAGATTCCTGCCTTTGGAGGAAATTGAAGATTTCAAGGCAGAAATTTGAAGTTGAGGTGAAAGAGATTTACATATTAAGTGTACTTTTCAGGGTGAGAGTTGTATTATTGCTGTGAAAATGATGATGCCAAAATAAAGCTGCATTTCTTGTATCTGTTATTGGGAATTAGCTCAAAGCAAAAACAGCTTGGACAACTTTCTTTTCTTTTTTTAAGTTTATGCTTTAAATCTTCCTTCATGCATGAAACTTAGTTGTTCTATGTACTTTTTATGGCATCATTTTCACACTTTGTTCTAACAAGTCAATCAAATGTAAGTATATAATTTGTATTTTCAGTCTGAACCCTTAAATAAAAAGGAATCTGACTGACTACCTGTTCAACACTGACGTTATCTGTATTGTATTCGTGTCACATCATCAGTGGCACTGTAATACGGTGATAAACACAGACTTGAGTCCCAGAGACATCTGGGTTTTAGTCTGACTCATTAATTATATGGCCCAGTGTAAACCCTGAGCCTCAGCAATGTGACCTAGACAAATTTGCCTTGACCCTCAACTCCTTTTATTGAATTACAATACCTAATATTTTGTACATTTGTTTGCATATTACAAACTTTTGCACCTAGGTGCAAAATAGCAATTACAAGTGAGAAATCATAATCTTCCTCATAATAAAGGGAGATCTTAATACCTTTTTCTTCTTTCTAAAAGTGAGTTCTTTCAGCTCTTGACTCCTCACATTAATGTCTTAAAGCTGCTACCCCTTTCACTCAGCTGGTCTGTTAAAGAAGTGGTGGTTGGTTCTAGCTAGTTTGGCTCAGTGGATAGAGCGTCAGTCTGCGGACTGAAGGGACCCGGGTTTGATTCCAGTCAAGGGCACATTCTTGGGTTGCAGGCTCCATCCCCAGTAGGGGGGAGGCGCAAGAGGCAGCTGATCAATGATTCTCTCACATCATTGATGTTTCTATCTCTCCCTTCCTATCTCTGAAATCAATAAAAATACTTTTTTTTTTTTAAAGTGGTGGTTGGGGGCAGGGAAAGGCAAGATGTTTCATAGATGGCTTGACATGACATCTGTATGCTTAAATATTAGCTACAGCATTCTGACCAGAATAGTGTAGTTATGATACATTATGAAACTCCTATCAGTGGAAGCAAGAGTACAGGACTCAGCAAGAATGGTCATGTCAATATAGTTTACAAAATGCCTGTTGATTTGGAAGGTTTTATTCCTCAGGAATGAAAGGTTTCTTATAATGCTGTTCTCTTTTAGGGTCAAATTCACAAGTAATTTAACCCCTCTGATCAAACAAACCAGTTGGTATATATATTTAACAGGCATACCTTAACCTGAAATTGAAATCCAGAGCATCAGTGTTTTTATTTTTTATTATTTTAGAGATGGTCTGAAAAGAAAATAAAACTAATATAATTGCTTTTATTGTATTCTGTGGTGAGGAAATGATATATTCTTCCTGATATAGGAGTCGCCTGTTTAATCCTATGTGTTTCAAGAACTTGTAAAAAAAAAAAAAAAAAGAACTTGTAAATTAAGTTTGGTATTGAAGGAACTGGTGACATGTCATTGAAGGGAAAGGGAAAGATAAGGTTTCCAGTTTTGTTTGAGCCAAGAGGTTCTGTAGAAAGGCATTTATTTTTAGACTAGCCATAATCCTAGAATTGATTAACTATGCATATTTTTATAAAGGGATAGAGAGTAGAAGTATTATTTTATTTTTTTAATATATCTTTATTGATTTCAGAGAGGAAGGGAGAGGGAGAGAGTCAGAAACATCAATGATGAGAGAGAATCACTGATCAGCTGCCTCCTACCCGCCCCCTACTGGGGATGGAGCCTACAACCCAGGCATGTGCCCTTCACCGGAATTGACCTGGGGACCCTTCAGTCCACAGGCCGACACTTTATCTACTGAGCCAAACCAGCTAGGGCTAACTATGCATATTTATTGTGTGTACTTAGCTTATAGTTTGTGTTCAAACTTAGCTTATAATTTATTGCCTAAACCAGTGGTCGGCAAACTGCGGCTCGCGAGCCACATGCGACTCTTTGGCCCCTTGACTGTGGCGCTTCCACAAAATACCAGGTGCGGGCGTGCGCATACAGTGCGATTGAAACTTCGTGGCCCATGCGCAGAAGTAGGTATTTTGTGGAAGAGCCACACTCTAGGGGCCAAAGAGCTGCATGTGGCCGGAGAGCTGCAGTTTGCCGACCACTGGCCTAAACTGTACAGACTTGTGGCAAATATGTAAATTTCATAGTAAAACTTTTTAAAGCCCTTTTAGAAAAGGTATGTTAAATAAGTTTATCCATAATTAGTATTGCTTGAGATTGCATCATTGAAGTCTTTTACTACATGTCTACATGTCTTTGACTTATGTAAGACATGTTACTCTCTGTGATCTTATAATTTCAGAGAGAATTCCTTTAAATACTATATAAGAATTGTATTTTACATTATCGGGGGGGGGGCGTTGTCAGCAGGTAGCCCACTTTTGTGGTCTTTTAAAATTTCAAATAAATGTTCTTAATCTGTTTTCTCCCTGTGAAAATTAACTCACTCCTTTTTTTCTCCCTGTAAGGACATCATCATAACCTAACCAAGAGGGAACATGTGAGCTTTTTGACATGTTTCTCATTCGCAGCTTGCCCTTGAGGGTATATTGAAGGGTAAACTAATACAAAGCTCTTTTTGTCCTGTTACTTGAAAGCACTTCAACAGTGAGCATTGTCTTCATTTTACATAGGAAGTAGAAATATTTAATTTTTATATCTTACATTTGTGTATTGCTGTATGGTTTACTAGTAAATTGTACCCATATATTAACTTAATTCAACAAATATTCAAGCAAACATTAAAACTCTTTGTTAGGTGCCTTGGGAGATAGGAAAGTAAATAAAACCCAGATAACCCCTCTAAAGGCTATATTCAATAGAATGACTTGTGTAATGTTTATCTGTGAGTTAGTCAGGTAGTGATATAAACCTCATTTTACAGATGAGAAATCAGACTCATATGAAATGATAAACACAAAGGTTTGTGGCTGTGAAGTTGAGGGTAGGTTAAAACTAAGGGATTGAGGGCCTAATTCAGTTCTCTTGCAAATATACACAATGCCTCTCTTTAAAATTTGAAATATGATAAAAAGTGGTTCTCTCACCCTCTTGAATTAAGTTATCAGTTTTAACTTTGAGTTAATTTCTGGTCCCATGGTTTCTAAGCCAGGTACCTTTTTGCTCTGCTGTTCTACAGAAACTTCCCTCAGGTTCACCAGTTATTTTCCACATTGTTAAATCCAGTGGTCACTTCTCAGTCCTCATCTTAAATGCTCTTTCAACAGCTTTTGGTAAAATTCATCACTCCCTCCTCTTTGAAATATCTTTTTCAATGTGTCCTCCATGTCTTTAGCTAGCTGCTCCTCCTATGTCTCCTTTGCTAGCTGTTTTGTTGTGTGTTTGTGGTTTTTTGTTGTTATTTTCAGACATAAATTCACATAGCATAAAAAACACCATTTAAAAGTGGTTTTTAGTGTATATATACAAGGTTGTCCAACCATCATCACTGTCTTATTCCAGAAAATGTTTATCACCCCAAAAGAAATCCCTTATCTGTTAGCAGTCACTCTCCATTTGTTTCTTCCCCCATCCCTTGGCAAACACTAATCTTTGAGTCTAGATTTTCTTCTTGGGATTTTATAATGCTAATTCTTTATCTTCACAACATCTAAAATTTAAGAGTGCTCCAGGACTCACTTCGTATAACTTTTTTCTGCCTGTGTTTATTTGTCTCATTTATGACGTCCATCTTGTGGTTTGAAGTACCATTGGTGACTTCCAAATCTTTATCTTCAGCCTCCACATCTAATAGGCACCTCAAGCTTACTATTTCTAAACCGAACGCCTGGTCTTTCCTTTTAAGTCTGTTTCTCTCACAGGCTTTTCCATCTTAATAAATGGTGATTTTATCTAAATTTTTGCCCTAATCAAAAAGCTTGGAGTCATCCTGGACTTTCCTTCATACAACTGTCAGCAAATCCTACAGATTCTACCTTCACAATCCATCCATTGTCTGACCAGTGTTCTCAGCTCCCATTGCTACCACCCTGCGCTGTTGGAGCTCTCCTGGATTATCGCAATGCCTCCTAACGTCTCCACACTTTCTCCCGTGCCTCTCTTCAGTCTAGTCTCCGCACAGCAGCTGGTGTAAATCTGTGAAAATTTTAAGTCAGATCCTGTCACTCATGGGCACATGTTCCCCATTGGCTTCCCATCACAGAGTGAATGCCAGAGTCCTTAGAGGGCTTATGTAGCCCTGTATTATCTGGCCCCAACCTCTCCTCCTTGATCATCCAGCTTCAGTCACACCGATCTCCTTGCTATTCTTCACACCAAAAATACCCCTCTCCTTCAGTCTGATTTGCTGTTCACTCTGCCTAGGGTGCTCTTCTCCCATATATCCTCACAGCTCTTCACTCTCCCTCACCTTCTTTCGATCTTTGCCTGGCCAAATTATTTAAAGGGCACAAGAAGGGGGAAAAAAAAAAAACACAAATCACCTTATAGGCCTCCTCTGTTTTATTTTTGTTATTACTTGTCATAATCTATCTTACTATATTTGACTTATTTTATATGTCTTCCATACCAGAATATAAGTTCCATCAGAGTGAAGATTTTTGCTGTTGTTTTCACTGTTCTATCCCTAATGCCTGAACGGACCTGGCACAAAGCAGGCCTTTGGATCTTTTTGAATGAGAGCAGAAGTTTTAACCATTAAAGAAAATTTTTAATTGATTTCAGAGAGGAAGGGAGAGGGAGAGAGAGAGAAACTTCAACGATCAAGCCTGCAACCCTGGCATGTGCTTTTACCAGGAATTGAAGCACAACCTCCTGTTTCATAGGTCAATCCTCAACCACTGAGCCACACTGGCGGGGCCTGCACTTTGCTTTTTAATTTAATGTATCAAGATATATATCAGCATCTATACCTGAACACCATTCTTTTTCACAACAGCAACTATTCCATAGTTTTCTGTTGATGGTCATTTAGATTATTTCTAGTACTTAACCAGTGCTGTTATGAATATCCTCATACACATGTCTTTGTACATATATGTACATATATGTGTAGGTTAAATTTCTAGACGTTAAAGAACGTGTGGGGGGGTGGGAGGTACCTTTAAATTTTTGATACATGTCGCCAAATTTAGAGGAGTATAATTTTAAAAGATGAAGATTTCTCATGTAGTACTATTTTCCCTGTGAATTGCGTTTTGTTTTTTAAGTATTCAGGGTCAACTTTGCATATTTGCCAGCTATGTATGTTTAAATGCTCATATTTTAGTGGCTGATTTCACAAAATGCAGTTTAAAATGGTTAAAAGCAAATATCAGTTAATAATCAGATACTTATTTTTCCTTTCCCACAAAGAGTTGCAGGGGAGCATCACCTT